TATACGAGAAAGTAAAAACATAAGCAAGCATATTGCGTTAGCAAATTTAAAACGCAAATATTTTATATCTAGACTCTAGACCGTTTTTTAAAGTGAATTTTTTTTGTTTTGCTGTTGTCACAGTGAAATCTAAATACATTTCTTATGCTGTACAGTAAAGCTAAACACTAAGAAACCTAGAAACATGTAGTCCTACTGGAATTGTTGGATTTATGGGGAGGTTGTGTGTGTGTGTGGGGGGGGGGGGGGTAATAGATTCAGATTGTTTTCGGGCAAAAGCGACTTTCATGGCATTCTTTATCAGGCGCAATGAGGAATATTGCCGGAAACTTGCGAGCTTTAGCGTGATGTAACCCGTATTGTTCTCAATACATATAGCCTACACCCACACAACACGTATTACCATGTAAGATGTAAGGATGTAAGGGCCTGTAGCCTACACATCTACAACACTCATTACGATGTAGCTTACACTTACACCCATACAACACTTATTACAATGTAAAATGTAAGAACCTATAGCTTACATACAACACTTATTACAATGTAAAATGTAAGAACCTATAGCTTACATACAACACTTATTACAATGTAAAATGTAAGAACCTATAGCTTACATACAACACTTATTACAATGTAAAATGTAAGAACCTATAGCTTACATACAACACTTATTACAATGTAAAATGTAAGAACCTATAGCTTACATACAACACTTATTACAATGTAAAATGTAAGAACCTATAGCTTACATACAACACTTATTACAATGTAAAATGTAAGAACCTATAGCTTACATACAACACTTATTACAATGTAAAATGTAAGAACCTATAGCTTACATACAACACTTATTACAATGTAAAATGTAAGAACCTATAGCTTACATACAACACTTATTACAATGTAAAATGTAAGAACCTATAGCTTACATACAACACTTATTACAATGTAAAATGTAAGAACCTATAGCTTACATACAACACTTATTACAATGTAAAATGTAAGAACCTATAGCTTACATACAACACTTATTACAATGTAAAATGTAAGAACCTATAGCTTACATACAACACTTATTACAATGTAAAATGTAAGAACCTATAGCTTACATACAACACTTATTACAATGTAAAATGTAAGAACCTATAGCTTACATACAACACTTATTACAATGTAAAATGTAAGAACCTATAGCTTACATACAACACTTATTACAATGTAAAATGTAAGAACCTATAGCTTACATACAACACTTATTACAATGTAAAATGTAAGAACCTATAGCTTACATACAACACTTATTACAATGTAAAATGTAAGAACCTATAGCTTACATACAACACTTATTACAATGTAAAATGTAAGAACCTATAGCTTACATACAACACTTATTACAATGTAAAATGTAAGAACCTATAGCTTACATACAACACTTATTACAATGTAAAATGTAAGAACCTATAGCTTACATACAACACTTATTACAATGTAAAATGTAAGAACCTATAGCTTACATACAACACTTATTACAATGTAAAATGTAAGAACCTATAGCTTACATACAACACTTATTACAATGTAAAATGTAAGAACCTATAGCTTACATACAACACTTATTACAATGTAAAATGTAAGAACCTATAGCTTACATACAACACTTATTACAATGTAAAATGTAAGAACCTATAGCTTACATACAACACTTATTACAATGTAAAATGTAAGAACCTATAGCTTACATACAACACTTATTACAATGTAAAATGTAAGAACCTATAGCTTACATACAACACTTATTACAATGTAAAATGTAAGAACCTATAGCTTACATACAACACTTATTACAATGTAAAATGTAAGAACCTATAGCTTACATACAACACTTATTACAATGTAAAATGTAAGAACCTATAGCTTACATACAACACTTATTACAATGTAAAATGTAAGAACCTATAGCTTACATACAACACTTATTACAATGTAAAATGTAAGAACCTATAGCTTACATACAACACTTATTACAATGTAAAATGTAAGAACCTATAGCTTACATACAACACTTATTACAATGTAAAATGTAAGAACCTATAGCTTACATACAACACTTATTACAATGTAAAATGTAAGAACCTATAGCTTACATACAACACTTATTACAATGTAAAATGTAAGAACCTATAGCTTACATACAACACTTATTACAATGTAAAATGTAAGAACCTATTGCTTACATACAGCACTTATTACGATGTAAGATGTATTAAGATATTGACAGGACATATAGCCTACACCCACACGACCTTATCGGGATGTAGTATGTTGTTGAGAGGGCTTATAGCCTAAATACATACACCAGTTATTACAATGTAAGATGTTGCTGACGGGACATATAGACTACACACACACGACCCTTATTTAGATGTAATCTGTTGTGTAGAGGGCCTGTAGCATAAATACATGCATACAGCACTTATTAGGATGTAAGATGTAATCTGTTGTGTAGAGGACCTGTCGCCTATACACATGCATACAGCACTTATTACGATGTAAGATGTAATCTGTTGTGTAGAGGACCTATAGCCTATATACATGCATACAGCACTTATTACGATGTAAGATGTAATCTGTTGTGTAGAGGACCTATAGCCTATATACATGCATACAGCACTTATTACGATGTAAGATGTCCAATTCAGTGAATCTGATAACAGATCCCATTGATGGGGTTATCGCTTGAAGTTGAAGTTTAAAACTTGTTTGTATTTGGGTAATCTTTAAGTGTACAAGCGGTTCTCAATCTGTTTGTGTAGAGAGGTCTTTCATTGATAGGTGTGTGTGTCTGTGTGTGTATGTGCGTCTCTGTCTGTGTGTATATGTCTGTGTGTGTCTGTGTGTCTGTGTCTACGTTCAGGTTGTGTCTATGTCTGTGTGTGTATCTGTGTGTATCTGTGTGTCTGTGTCTGTGTGTGTATGTGTGTGTCTGTGTGTGTGTCTGTGTATGTGTCTGTGTCTGTGTGTGTATATGTGTGTGTCTGTGTGTGTGTCTGTGTGTGTGTGTCTGTGTGTGTGTGTGTCTGTGTGACATGGCTAAGAATGATCTCCTGCGCAAAATTTTTATCTTGGTATGTTTTATGGGTGTGTGTTGTATTTGGTGTGTTATATGGATGCTTTATGTTTGGAAATTGGGCTGTGTTTTTTATGTGTGACGTGTTTTAGTATGTGAAGAGTTTTTACTTTGTGTGGAATGTTTGCTATGTGTGAAGTATTTTAGTGTGTGTAGTGTGTTTGAGATGCTCTTGGGCACTTTTTTTGTTCGCAGTACTCCGCTCTGCAGTTATCCGTTGAGCATCTTTCCCAGAGTTTCTTCCAAGAAGAAAGTCTACTCCCCCCCCCCCCCCCGAACGAAATGGAATTTATATAGAAAATATAGTTTTTACAGTGTCCCCCCCCCCCCCTCCGGAGAAAAAAGTCTGGAAGAAACACTGATCTTTCCCGTCATTGTAACGTGTGTGTATGTGTGTGTGTTTGGTATGTGTGACGTTTATTTGTCTAATATTACTAATATTAGACACGATTAGTATGTGTAGAGTGTTTGGGGAGTGAATTGTTCGCAGTTCTTCGCTCCACAGTTATCCGTTGCGCAGTTTTTCATTGCGCACCATTCCGGTCACCGTACCGTGCGTGTGTAGTGTGTTTGGTATATGTGGTGTGTTTAGTATGTGTAACGTGTGTGTGTAGTGTGTTTGACGTGCGAGCTAAATTTGATATGCATGATAACACGTACCATGAAACGAAACACCACACAATCGCATGTCAATCCCCAGTTTACCCCACTCCAATCCATATCCTATTCTAGCTATTCCTATCTCCACTGCCTAATTTTATTCACGATTTTATTACATAACATCGTATTTTATACAGTTAATTGTAAGATTATTAATTTTAAATGCACAGGCAATTTTCTCATAAAAAATGTGTATGTACATTTAATTAATGTTTTTTAATTTAATTATGTACTAGTTGAACATACACTCAGGCCGATTAAGAAACGTAATCGATTGCTTTTAGTGACGACATAGGGTTGCGTCCCTTGTGAAAATCATCAAAGATTGGCTAACCAGACAGGTACATAGAAATATAAGTGGGATAGTTAAAATACGCAGTGATGTTAATCATATAAGGCCAACATGTGAAGGCGGTACCTACAGTTGCACATATTTTACACGGGACTATTTAACATTGTCTGCGCCATAACCTTAAACTCTGACCTAACCCGAATTCGTTTTGTACCTTAGAACTAGGCTCGCAACGTTACTCAAAAACCAACAACAGCCTCGTTTTCAAACAACCCCTGAGAATTCTTTGTTCGGGTTGAAACAGTGAAAGGTCAATACAGCAAGAATCTATTTTTAGCTTTTGAATTACAAGTCACGTGATCACGTTAGGTTAAGAAAACAAACAATGCGATCAGCAGGGTTGTCAAACCTGCATGTCGCTAATTACATTACCTGCATGCCGCTAATTCCTTTACCTACAACGAGACTAATCTACTGCACTAACTGTATTGTTATTGATTAGGTGTTAATGTGCCGGGTAAAAAAAGAATAATTCACGTGGTTGTGTACAAAACCTGTACATTTACGTACACAGCATGTACATACACGTACACAGCATGTACATACACGTACACAGCATGTACATACACGTACACCACAGCATGTACATACACCTACACTAATTACACACAACTTGTACAAACTGTAGATGCACGTACCAAAATATACACAGCTGATACATACACAACTATTACACACACGTAAAAAAAGTACACACAACTTGTACACACGTAGACAACCTGTACATAAACGTACACAATATGTACACAATATGTTTACAAATCGTTACACACCTACACAACCTGTACATACACATACAAAACATATACACTGTACACACACGTACAAAACATATACACTGTACACACACGTATAAAACATGTACCCAGACCTACACAACCATGTACACACACACGCCAATGACCTATTGTCCCAGAAACCATGACCTAACCAGTGACAACTGTTATTCACGCTTGACTGAACACCCGACACACGAGCGTGTCAACACACAGGACTGACACCATGACTACACACCTTCCCTTTGTCAGTGAGTGTTGACAATGTCACATAGCCCCTGTCATACAGCGCCCCTAGTTTACACTCGACACGTGTTGAAGGCTGTAATAGATTTGATTCTAAATTAGTTTACAAGCTGTTCGTATTAAACGTAACACACATGTTTATTGCGCTAGTATGTAATTGGTGTTTTTAAGCCACTAAACCCACGGAGGTTCGCTCATCTTAGCAGGTAGGTTGGAACTTTTTCGTTTTTGCTGACATAATTAACTTCTTCATTGTTTAAATCATAGCGGTTATTTTGTTAAGATATTAAATTAGTTTAAGCTGTGTTTCTTTTTCAGCAATTGAACTTTGAACTCACCACATAAACGGTAAATATGTATAGGGGGGGGGGGGGGGGCTTTTGTCATTACAATACTTTTTCCCTCATCTTTTCACTGTTTCATACCAATGCATATAAATTATGTTGTCATCAATTTAAAAGCACACAGAACACAGAATAAAGTGTTGTATGTACGTAGTTTTTCCTACATAAGTTATTTAAAAATCTCATTTGAGTAATTTTTTAGCGCAAATTCCTTTCAGGAGAATTGCGTTTATTAACTCTTAATTTCTGGATGTATGAAAGAATGAATGAATGAATGGATGGATCAGTAGCGTACGCAGTGGGGGAGCAGGGGGAGCGGCCGCTCCCCCTCTGGCCATTTTCAGCAAAGTGGCGCCTTTTTGGAAAATTTTTAAACTCAAAGTTTTAAACAATGATATTTGTTTAAAAAATTTTTTGGTCGGCACATCTATGTAAATCACATTTCATGCAACAATTAAGCATTATTGTACTAGTCTAGTAGTGTCTACGTTTACAACACGTATTAACAGCTGCATCAGTTTGCCATTCTAAAAATAACCATTACGATGCATTGCAATGTTTAAAAAACCTCTACGGGTAGTACCACTTGGCAAAAGGGGTATTAAGTTTAAGGCAACTGTATAATATATTTGCTTACGAATAATTGAATTAGAAAATGTTATACATCAAACTTCACACATAATTCCTTTGTATATACAGTTTGAATCGTGTGATTAATTTTAATATAATTACAATACAGAAACAAATACAACTGATGTGGCACCTCTATTTAAATTTACTTATGAGCAAACTGCGTAGTGGTGTGGAAATTTTGACGTCATCACAATGAAGTAGTAGTATTCTTACAGTTTGGGCGATAGTGATTACGATTACAAACTATATGAAACAGTTACAACCCCCCTCCCCCATGGACCCCTCTGTAAAATATTGTCATAATACCACTGCTACTTATTTAAATCTATTTCTGTAAATACTGTAATATATATTTGTGTAATATATATTTGAGTAATATCTATGTATGTTTAGAACAGTCATCTAAAAACGAACGCTATGTTCACTCTGAATAGGTTATCTCCCCCTCCCCCCCCACCCACACACACCTCACAACCGCAATTGTGTAGAGCGACATCAATGTCACACCTAGGTATACACTGGGTTGGATAATTGACCTAAAGTGACCGGACAGTGGCGAATGAAGTTGAACCCCCCCCCCCCCAACACACCCCGAACTGATCTGTTAAGTACATGTAGACAAACGCGCAATGGTGTATCAAAGTACCATGCCGCAAAAAAATTAGCTTTTTAAACGTAAAACTCTGTGAATATTGTGTTTGCAATTACCAGTAAAAAGGTGTGTGAGCAATACAGTGATCTAACCCATACCTATCACTATGTTAAAAAATGATCTTTAAAGAACACAAGGAAGCGGTAGTTAATTAAAAATATACGATCTGAACTAAAAGATGGATATTTAGTTAAATGTAGGCATTTAATCCGAATTTTTTTCTATTATATCGAAAAGCGTGGTTTTATACCAACTTTGATTTTAAAAACTTTCATTATGCTGTAATACTTTAGCATTTATGATGACGATATATTAAATTTTGATTATAGACAAAAACACTTTGTAAACACGAATAGTGTTAAACAATTTCATTATATTCTAAAGTAATTATTTATTTGTTTTGACATTTATAATTAAATGTGTAGATATATACATATTTATATTAAGAGAGTGATTATTTCCCCTATTTCACTTATCTTAAATAATTTCCCAGGAATTATTATGTAAGAATTTTTTTTACTAGAATTACAAAACATATTGTGTTACCTATATATTTTTTGTTTTGTTTAGATTGATACAATTTTTGTTTTGTCGGCCTACATTGTGTGTTTTTTTTCTTATTTCTTCAGAGTGCTACTTTCAATTTATTTTACATCATAGCAAAGTAATGACATACAGCTAGTAATTTTATATATATATATATATATATATATATATATATATATATATATATATATATATATATATATATATATATATATATATATAATACACGTATATAGAACGTGTTAAAAATTCGGCGCCTTTTTTTGCCCTTTTCGCTCCCCCTACAACGAAAACCTGGATACGCCTCTGGGATGGATGGATGGATGGATGTGTGTCCGCAGCTTTAAGTCGTATCTCCTCCTCAACGAAGCAATATCGAGGACTAGTTCCAAAAGCAATTATGTTAAGCAAGTTACGAGGATGAACAAAGGCCAAAAAAATTCCGGGTTTCTTTCATGGATTTCCCGGAAAAGCCAAGTAGTAATTTACGCTACTTCCGATTTCTCAAAAACTAATGTAAATTTTTAAAGTACTAATAATATTGCGCACTATTATGCACTTTTTTATTTGGCGTTCACTTAGTGTGCAATTAATTTGTCTACGAGATTTTATTCTATTTTTAAAATTTTAAGTATTTAAAATGGATTAAAAATCATGTCTATAGCCAGAGTTCCCATCCCCTGTTATTTTATACGAGCCGGCCCGCGGCATAACATACGCCGCTATTTAGTTGTTTCTAATTTTCAATAATTCATAATTTGTGAATTCGACAGTACCAACGCTGACACTGAAAATATTTCTTTAAAACACTATAAGTAGCTCGTTAAGGACCATAACCCCCCCCCTTCCTTCCCTCCCCCCCTCCTCCCCCCCCCCCCCCCTACGTTTAAAATCGTTGGCTCTGCTTGTAAACATTTAGAGTGAACACAGCTCACTAAAACCATGTAGGGGTGGGGAGGTAGGGAGAGGGTTTGCAGCTTGTTTTCTAACGGCTCGAAGAAGAGAATTATATATATAGATAAGAATATTCGAGAAAGTTTAGGGGAGATTACTCCCAGTTTTTTTTAATTTTTATATTAGTTTATCTATTATAAAATATAGTATGTTTCAATTTAAGGGTCATCTATCTATGACTTCCATAATTGAGTCGGTTATAGGCTGTTCCAACTCAGTGTGTGGGGAGAAGGGTCCACGCTGTACCTTCCTAACTGCAGTATGCTTGTAGGTTATCAAAACAAAATGCTGTTATCATGTAAACATCATGTATATCATACATTTACACTTCTGTGCTCGCTTTTAAGCAACAGATCTTTACTGTTGTTAATTAAACATTATCACAATTTTAGAATTGGTAGATTTTAGCTGTTAAGGGCTTGATTTGTTTGTGAATTGATGTTGGTTCATGAAATTATTTTTCATTTAAAAAAGGTTATAGTAGTAGTGGATGTAGGATAAAATGGTTACTTTTATGCCAATAATGGTCATGCCATTTATTTGTTTGGAGCCAATATGTCGGGAGTCATTTTGTCGGTAGCCAATATGTCGGGAGCAAATTTGTCGGGAGCCAATATGTCGGGAGCCCATTTGACGGTAGCCAATATTTCATGAGCCCATTTGTCGGGAGCCCATTTGTTGTGAGCCCTTATGTCGGGAGCCAATATGTCGGGAGCCACTATGTCGGGAGCCAGTATATCCTGAGCCTATTTGTCGGGAGCCAATATGTCGAGAGTCCATTTGTCGGGAAATTTATATAATTTATATAGAAAATATATACTTTTAACAGTGTCCGCCCCCCCGAAGAAAGTTTACCGCCCCCCCCCCCGAAGATTTCAAGTGCCCCCCCCCCGGAGAAAAAGGTCTGGAAGAAACACTGGTCACGAGTCAATATAACGGGAGCCCATTTGATGGGAGCCAATAAGTCGGGGCCCTTTTGACTGGGCTATTTTGACTGGGTCGTTTTGTCGGGGGTCAATTTGACGGGGTCATATTAACGGGCCGTTTTGACGGGGCTTATTTGTCCCGGGCCGTTTTGACAGGGCATCGTATTAATTGCAAACTTATTTAAAAAAAAGAAAAACTGAAAATGCAAATGTGTAATTAGAGGTACTTTAATTTTCCATCGGCGTGGTGGGCTGGTGGCAGTAGAGCTGAAATAAATTTGGGATTTCAGAAATTGAAAGATAAATTTGTAATATTTTACTACGTGACAATCATGTACAGACAGTGTTCTAGAATAGTAACTACTTTGAAAATACATTTTATTACTAAAACAATTCTAAGGTTTTTGAGATTTTGCGTAAAATGTAAAAACTATTACAAGTGTTTCTAAAAAATTGAAATATACTTGTTTTTAAAACTATTTTATACACTTAATTAACTGTAACAATACTTACAATAATACTATTTTTATATTTTATGCTAAAAATACTAGTTGACTTTGAGCATTTAATGTTTAGTTGTTTCCCTTGGAATTACGTTTTCCCCCACTTTAGTGTTTATAAGGGACATAACTCACTGTCACTATTTATATCTCCCGCTTAAATAAATTAATCGCGCAATTTTCAATAAAATGGTCTTAGTGTTCAACGGCATGACTCCACTCTTTAAGACTAGACAGAGGCGTAGCGGGTGGGGGGGGGGGGGGGGGGGTGGGGGGACACCAACGTTAATAATTTACTACAAATACAATGATTTTCCACTTGATTTAATAACTGTTAGAGTTAGTGCCCTATATAGGAAGCAGAGGCGTATCCAGGTTTTCGTTGTAGGGGGAGCGAAAAGAGCAAAAAAAAGGCGCCGAATTTTTAACACGTTCTATATACGTGTATTATATATATATATATATATATATATATATATATATATATATATATATATATATATATATATATATATATATATATATATATATATATATATATATATATATATATATATATATATATATATATATATATATATATATATATATATATATATATATATATATATATATATATATATATATATATATATATATATATATATATAA